ATGAAGTGCACTTATTTATTTACTTATTTATTTTGCGCCCAACGGACGCGCCACAGTCAGTCAACTGATAGAGAACGCGGTAAGTGAACATGGCAATATTGACTAAGAGAAGAAAGAAAAAAAAAGAAATAAAAAGAAGTAAAATAGCACAACTTAAACAGAGCCTGCAACAGAAATAACTTAGGAAACAAAAGGTCCGACAGTACAGAACTAATTGACCGTAACCAGACACCAGATCTTAGGAACAACCCGAATGAAAACCTTTGAAAACTGAGAGGCTTACTAGCCAAGAAGTGCGCTTTGATGTTGCGTGTGCTGGTGCCCACGGGACAAAGGTTATGTGTACTATAATAGGAGTGTCGCATCTCATATAAGAAGTATCAGAGGCATCGCATCACCTCATGACCGGATGTGGCGCCCACTGCATCTGTCGGCCAAGATGCCCAGTCGCCACTTTCGGGGTCATAGGAGCTTACCGAGACTCCGAAACACGGGTACACCGACTTCCCACGTGGAAACGGCAAGTTAGTGAGCGTCACATGCAGACCACAGGTGTGCGTTGAGCCGGACAGTATACCTTTGGTACACTTGCCGCATATGATTCTACAGAGGTCTTAGATATGGTTATATTCGGTGAAGATATGATTATATTCGGTGACATTTCCCTTGCAAAGAGCACCCGCAATCGTGGATTTGAGTGTGCTAGATTCACTTCGTCCGTGGTTCCCTTAGTTAACCATGGCACGGTCTGAAGGACCTTTGCTGCTGAAGCAACCTTTGTATAAACGATGCCATTCTGACTCCGTAACAACTGGCGGGATTCTCGCTGCGATCCAACTCACTCCGCTTCACACGCCCTTCTGCGACCTATCTTCACCATTTGGCAGTGTGGCTGAAGCGATGGATTCCAAAGCTGGAAGCCATCGCTTCAGCCACAGTGCCGCCCTGCTCGCCAGAGGATTGCAATTTACTCCATTCTCTTTCTACTAGTTTCTGTTCAGAAAACCAAAGGGCACCATGCTCCCCACGGCACCTGGTTCTTTCATTTATTAGGCTTTACGGCAGTATACGCTGCGATTCCAGCGTTCGGCAGCGGCAGTGGCAAGGGAAGGATGGATATCGATCTAGCGTCACCAGCGTACGCTAGCGTAACGCTAGAATACTCTAGCGTTACGCTGGCGTACGCTAGCGTAGCGTTTGATTTGCGTGCTGTGAAATTGCGGCGTGTTAGTACTGCCGCAATTTAAGTACTAATACCGAGCACTAAACTGGTTAAATTGCATAGATATGTGTGGTGGAACGGAATGATTTGTTCTATTGTCGGACCGGAATTGAGTTGAATTATGAAAACGGTGGCTTTTGCAGGTAACCATTTCTTTTTTAGGGCTGAGCTGTTGGAGATTGATTTATTTTTTGGGAACTTTTAGTAATTCGTATGAACGGTTTCTGGTCGAATATACGGCTGACAAATACATGCTCATTCTTATAAAAGATCCTAGATGGTCCCACGCTTATCGTAATGATGATGGAAATGATCGGTTCATGCTTTGCATTTATGCGTTATGCAATTCAACCATTGCATTATGCAATTTAACCAATTTAGTGTACGGTATTAGTACTGCGGTGCGGCTACACACGCCGCAATTTCACAGCACGCGCAATCGAACGCTACGCTAGCGTACGCTGGTGACGCTAGATCGATATCCATCCTTCCCTTGCCATGCCGCTGCCGAACGCTGGAAACGCTAGCGTACGCTGCCGCAAGGTATGAACGCAGCCTCACCTTTTACCCATGGAATGGACAAAGTGAGCAGTGTACTGAATTTTAGCAGATACGTCACTCTTAAGAGACAAATCTTATTCTCATTAGGTTGGCTCTACATCAGAATGAATATATGTCAACCAACACAGAACACACTGTAGTTTTGGCTGCCGTAGGATTATCTTGACCTTCGGTATTGACAAGTACTCTGTAAATTTACGACGTTCCAGTTGCTGAAGTTTACATGGACTCGGTATGGCTGACTTGCTATAAAAAGCTGTGTCCCTTTCAGTAGAAGTTCTAATTGTGACCCAAACAGACGCGCACTTCAAAGCGAGCAATTTGCAGGCATGCCACACTTTCTTGGGAAGCAATATCGTTCGCTGCCCTTGCTGCTGGGAAGCTAAGCGCCACTAAAGTTCCAGAGCTCTCGATCATTGCAGATGTGTTTCACTGTAGAAAAAAAATGAATTTAGAGCTGTGGAAGGCCCTTTAAAAAGTTGTTCTGGCCACACTTCCTTTGGTTTGAACCACGTCTTTTTTGAGTGACCATCGAGTTTCTGCATAGGATACCACCCTTTGTCCTTCAGTTTTCTTGAAAATCTATTGACTTACATCTGCTGAAGTATTCGTGGTATCAACAGTGTAATTATTTCCAGTATCCTGTACTAACAGCGACCAGTAGTAGCTCCCGATAAGGATATCGCTCTTTGCCTCATCTAAAAAAACATTATTCAGTGGTGATTTGGAATTCCAGAAAATATGTAGCTCCGATACTTGCGCCGTTCCGAGTCATGTACCCACTAGGTAAATGCTGAGATGCCCTGAAGCCGGATGTGACTTCAGGCAAATTAGCAATTTGCTGTCGAATGCGAATTTTTCCTCTGAGGCACATCAATTTATACACTGGGCTCCCTCTTGCAGTTTTGAATAGAAGGATTTCTCACTTATGGTTAGTGGCCTTTGTTTCCACTGATTGATTGTGTTCATGAGTTCCTGCATGAACAAATCTAGTGAAAAACCTGCGAAAACTGGAACACACATCGACACACAGTGACATTGTAGCACTCCTCCCCTTCGCCTTTTTTTGGATTATCGCGAAGGTATTGTGAACAATTTAATGTGCGTTGCCATGTATTCATCGACTCATGACAGGCGTCTTATCCCACTGAGAAAGGTGCGATTATGGAAACTTTGCTCAGTGAATAAGAATCTTCCGTGCAGCATCGTACTACTACTTTCAACCAGGTTCCCACTATTTTAGAAGAGAACCATTCCGCCCAACTTCTTAGGGCTCGGGAAGGCTATGCGTTAAGTGAAATGTTATAGAATGAACATCTACGAAAGACACTCGCAGCTCACCCTAACGAAGATGTTCATGAAAAAAGAAATTGCTTACTATCGCTCCAACAAACATGGCTGTGCCTTTAAAGGCCATGAAATCAACATAACAACCTAGAAACACACCGCATAAGAAAGGAGTGATTGGGAAGAACATCAAGATTATAGTGAGGGAAACACAGATCATCCGGCTCACGTTGAGCTCAATGTCTCTGTAGCCCCTCCTGCTAAGTAAGCTCGAACATTGGGGTATTCGCAGCTCCGTTCTTCGACGAACAATGTTCGGGGACGCAGCACCATTCTACTCCATTCCTCCGAGCTAATTGAAGAACAGGTAGGCCAAAGACGTAATGAACTCGCATATGACAGCTGGCCCACGTTGATTATTGAATAGATTCAACGGGATGTTAACAGAAAATTTACCGCCCACTCAATGGTCACACTTCTGCGTGCTAAATGCATGGCGTAGGTTCAGCTTGTCATTTGACACGGAGAACCCACATGGCAAGTTCACTCCACTAAAGTAGACGTCAATGGTGCTCACTTGAGCACCTCACATCAATGAACACAACAGCTGAGGTGAAGCTCGATATACTACCTCTTTACTCAGCAACACTTCACTCATTGTCAGTGAGGTGTTGCTTGTTGTTGAAAAATCGATATATACGGATGTAGATATTGGCTGTTGCCTCTGCAACATGGAGGCGACCACCCCTCACCCACTCACCACGAACATTAGTTTCCGTATCTTGCATAACGCAATCACATTGATCTTTGATGAAAATGCTCTCTATTGTGCTTGTTTCTGAAAGTTTCGAAAGATTCTCCATTACGGATTTCATGATGACTGTCTTATCTTTGTCGAGCAGGTTGCCATTTTTGTTCTCGAGCTGTTCTAATGAAAATTAGGCAATCAAATCAAGTGCCCGAGCATCATCTCACACTAACCTATCTCGGACCAATGCATGGTCGACCACTATAGCGATCCGGGTAGCTAGACATTACGATACGACAGATCATCTTGTCGCACCATTTTCCATGCTTGAATCGATTTATATTGACATTTTCATAAGGAATGTCGTGCCCGTGTAGTTTCTGGCGTTCTTTGCGGTTGTTTCGCATCTCAAGCTGATAAGAACACGTGAAGGCGATAATTGTGGCGACACCGAGTAAACTTTCACCATGATGGCACAGCTTTACGACCGCTTCTATTTAACAGGTCGCAATATCATTTCAGAGCATATTTATAGGTGCTTAAGTGTTTATTACAATTGAAGAAATCGAGAGGATTTATAGCCTTTTCAGTTGCCTTGGTTGATGGATGAAACTTGGGAGGTGGGTTAATCCTGTGGAATGGAATGGGACTCCTGAATGGCTTTACCTCAAATCCTTCTAGCGCCTTTGCTGCAACGACCTAAGAACCTTAATGCTTTCATAAACACAAGCAGCGTTAACCAAAAGATGGAGAAGTTTAAAAAAAAAACTCCTTCATATTTAGTCAGTTTGAGTCAGTTAAGTTGTTCTTATGCGGCACAGGTTGTAGAAAGCTGTGTGTGGCTGGTTAATGGGAGAGAGAGTTGAGCAAATTTCCCTTCCAGTCAAGCTTAAACAGCGATCAAAGGGTGTGAGCTATGAATGTGAAGGTCTGTGAGACGCGGAACTGAACCTGAAAGCCATGTGAAATACAAAATTCAGCTGTGGACTGTTGTACACACTTTACGGAGCACTGCTTCCTTTAATTTATTGGGTCGGTTGCTCTAGAGGAGCGCTACCCGGACGCCAATGAAACAGAGCCCACGTTAGTAGTGCAAGCACACTTTCAGAACAGAGTCGCTGTTGTTTTGCAGCTCAGCTAGGGCCGAGCAGCGCTCAAGAGAAAACGCTATCTCTTCCGTACCTATGCAGTGGTGAAAAGCCATTGATTATTGAAATTGTACACAAGACCGAAAATGCGAAGAATAATGAACTCAATCATTAGCCTCATCCAACAATTTGTCGTGCTGTTGTAAATTGGATACGAGGAGTTGAACGCGAGTCCAGCTGGTATTGATTCGCAGATAATGAATCTGAACAGCAAAACTCACCGTTTCGATGTTTTCTTGTTGATGAGAAAAGCAACAGTTCAAACTAACTCGCATGTTTTCTCGCAGGTCACTGGTGGAGGTGGTGCACATCCATTGCTTGGCTTCTCAGAAGAGCTACAGTTTCCATAAATGTTGTATGTATCGCCTCCTTTTGACGCTGGTTTCACTCCAACGAAGTAAACCTTAACTGCTCTACGTAAGTTTGGAAACCCTTCACTTATGTCTCAAACTTCTCTACTCATAAAATCTCGGCATCTTTGTTGCTTTTTGATGTTTTTATTTTGCGCTAACAATAAGACGAACATTTGGCAAAATTGTTACGACTTCAATAAATCGTTGCATTTAACAATCTCATCAACGTCGAAGAAAAACATTCATCTTATACGCATTCGCAGGCATATTCTATGGCAGTTTGGGAATGCTCTCAGCTCTCACAGCAGCAGTCTTCACTAAATGTTCGTTTAAACGTTGACAGGTTACAGCATCGTAGTGCGAAACCCATCTTGGGAGTCGTAAACGCAGGGTGTTGAGCACCGAACAGCACAAAAGTGTTATCGCTAAGTCTGATGGAATGAACGGAAAGCTGCAGTACTCGGATATAAAGCAGACTACAAAATCCTAAAACAACTGTTTAGCAATATCAATAGTTAGCATGAACTCGTAAGTACGTAGATGACTAAATAATACATCTCAAACAGATTCGTGCGTATCGACCTTTCCAAACCCTGAACAAACATCTGCTTGCATGGACAAAAATCACCTAAAATCAGAAGTTACACCTTTCCACCACCTCTGCGTAGAAGCGTAATGCACGGCGCACACTCGGACCAAATCGATCGATGACAAGCAAATTATGCTTTGACTCAGTTCAACGGTAATATGTGGTTTAAGGGCATTCGAAGTTCGCGAATGAGTACCGGGTCTTATGGTTAGGGAAAATTGTAGAGACTATTGGAAGGATTGGGCGTTTGAAGAAGTTTTTCGTTTTGCAAAAGATTGCGTTTGAAAGAAGTTATTCTCGTCTGAAGCATAAAAACCTCGCGATTTACCACTAACGCGTCCGTAACCCATCCGAAATATTTCACGAACGGGGAAGATTCAGATTGCGAGTAGGTAGAAAACGCAACAGTAGAGACATTGCTTCAACATGCCGCCTTCCGTTTCTCAAAAGCCCTGCATCTGAAAAAGCTGTCAACTTCAGAACAAGCCTCACGATTTGCCGGGCAACAGTCTGCTCCACCGCGAAATTGCCATATAATCATAACGTGGCCGTAAGCGATTGCGAGCCGTTACTTGTCCGATCCTTCTCGTCAGAGCAAACAATCATGGCCGGAAACTGAGGGGGGGGGGGACGTACCAAGACCCTTTCCCCGGAGGGGGGAGGGTCGTACTGATTTCACACACACGATGCTGTACCCTGTACTTTATGTCGTCGCGATCACTTGGTTTGGTTTTGAGAGGGGTGGGTGAGCCAACCTGCGCCGCTTTCTACCTTTGGTTGTTGTTTTTCTAAATCGATCAGTAGTCTATAAGTTTAGGCAGCCGAAGGCGACGAGCTTCCTCGCACCGCCTCCACTGACTGCGATGATAAAACTATACAACTCACATGTCTTTAACTGTGTTGCACAATGTTTGTAGTTATAAATTAGCTTAAAAGTTCATCCCACAGTGATCGAATGGGCGTAGAAAGGAGCGGGACGTTATGAGCTCGGAGCATTTCCTTAGTGATGCGTGTCTTTTCTTCTTACTTCACTTACACAGCCTATCGGCTCAATCACTCCGTCGTGGGAAATGAAAAAAAACAATTAATAATTACTCAAAATTCACCGCTAGCCATATGCCTGAAGTAAGCAATATAGCTACAGCCACTGTAATGGCATGTCCAATGAAGATAGCCGCGGACATGTCCCTTGCCGTGATTTCTTCTTTGTGGTACAGAACACTGAAACAAGAGGAATTTTACACACGGAAAGCCGTAAGTAGGTTAGCCGGTCATGGAATATTCCGTAAATAAGTTCATTCAGTGTTCAGAGATGATTTTCCGGCGCAGGGTGTCACCTGGAAACTAACAAGTGGGACGAAGATAGGTTTGGTTTCTTGGAACTAAACATGTAGTCATTTTTGCTGCGTACGCTCGAGCGTGTCAGGGGAACTGTATTTCCCCTTTTTTCACGACTGTTGCCGTTTGTTAGCTTCAACATACGGTGAAGAACAGGCTGCCGCCACGCTGAACCCACCTCTCCCCACGACTACAGCGACAACAACTGTATCTTCCATGATAAGAACTCAAACTCTAGCACCCTTTCCATTTTCTTCTCTTGAAAATACTAATCACCGGTCCAGGATCCTGGAGAGTTTCTCGAAAAATCGCTTCCAATGGCGACATCATAATTCCAGAACCCCTACTAACACCAGGCCCAGAGACAGGGAAGAGCCCAGTAGCATTAAGATACCGTGTTCTACATTGTGACAAATGCACAACAGTGAGGGAAAAAGCGCGACGAATCCGAAGCCGAGAAATCAGCCTGTGATTCGGCGCGTTGGTGCATTACCTAAAAACACTCCCTTTTCATGCGGCAGCGTTCAGACTTGTAGTGTTACAGTTGTCGCGCTATAACTGTAGCGCTACAACTGTTGCGCTACAACTGTACCAGACCCCAGCTTCCCTTTATGTTCTTTCTTCCGGTATTCAATCCTTTTTCACTGTTTCTCATTTCTACCTGATTCTTAGCTCCTCTTTTTCACTTTAACATTGAATTTAAACAGAACAAAATTTAAACAGAACAGAACATTGAACAGAACGAAAACAATTTCGTAATCGGGATCAACATGATGCACCACTGCAAGACATCAAACATCAATAGCAACCCTGAGGCTGAATAATTAAAGTCGAAAACGGTATAGAAATTCATTATCACAGTGTTTTGTATCAATGATTACATTAAAATTCAAGTTTGAAAAAAGGAGTGAAGAATCACGTAGAAATGAGAAGCAGTGAAAAAGGGTTGAATACCGGAAGAAAGAACATAGAGGAAGCTGAGGTCCGGTACAGTTCTCACGCGACAATTGTAGCGCTACAAGTCTGAACGCTGCCTATCACACCATTCTTAGCAGGAGAAAACAAAACTAGGGCGTTAGTCTAATATGGTAGAGCATTTTGTTAAATCCTGTCAGAATATCAAACCATTTTTGTGAGGGCTGGGCCATTATATGACTTCCGCAGGCTACGAAACGGTAGCACACTGCTTCGTGAGACTATGGTATCTGGATACGATCAGAACAAATCAGGAAAGGTGGGAGGGGGGAGGGGGCAACGCGATGCGAGGGAACCCTTCGACGCCAAAGCAGGCATATTACTCCGACAAAACAAAAACTGCGCGAAGGAGATGTTCACTCACCCAAGGTTTTTTCCTCCCGGTCTCAGGCAAAAATCCCCTGGCTTATCTGTCACTTGGTAAATATTCAGTCAACCAATCCTTTGGCTCGGAATCCTCTTTTCGAATTGCTAGCACTAACAACGACTTTTGTTCAATACAAGAAGAATTTGAACGCGCAAATGGAACTATGTAGCACTATCTCGTAGCTCCATTGTAGCTTGCAGGACTGGACAAAATCGTCGGTCCTTCGCGGTGTCACGGTTCTCAGGCATGTCATTTAACAAAAGTTAAGACAAAGGGGAAGGATGTTCGGTTACGATCTCACTGATGATGGGTAGGGCAAAAGGTATCCACAAAAAGTCCGATAACACCCACAATGACAACTTTTTCTCTCTTGCTAATCGTTGTTTACCATTATGGATTGTGTTAATGTCTGATAAATGTGAAAACCTACGGACAAAGAAGAATCTTGTGCAAAACGTCTAGAGTGCGCTCACTCGCTCACACTGTGAACCGCCAGAATGACCTCAGTGATTGCTATGAAGAACTTGATAGGTAGTCACTACAAATCAGGAAGCCGAACTGACCTAGTGTTACGGGAGGGGTATGATAAATCCGTTTCCTTCCTTGAACTGATGTGAGCTGTAGCGATCCAAGAGCCTCACTGACTATTCTGCTACCCGCTTCGTTCAAAGGCACCACCACCACCACTCATTTGCCCCTTATCAGCGATATGTATAAACAAAAAGGGCAAAGAGTAAATGTTATTTGACCAGTTCCTACTCACGTCAGTCGCTGAGTTCTCATTCTGTCTATTGCAAGGGTCACGTTCGAAGGAGACCCTACCACCATGCAAAGGAGTAGCAAGTATTCTAAACGGGCGTCTTAGGTTGTAGGCGTACCGTCACGAAAGTGTGACAGCGTAAGCTCAGTTCACCGTTCTCTTCTCCTACAGCTTCCTTTATCACGTCCACGGGGAATTTTGCGGATGGACAGACAGAGCCAAGTACTTCCCTCACATTTAGGCACGAAACGCGTGGATAGTCAAAGAGCCCATTGGACTGATTTGCTTCGCGATTGCTGCCTATAGACATTAGTGACACCTGTCCGAGCAAGAGGATCGCCCTCAATGCCAGGGGATTCGACTGGCCCTCACCAGTTGGTCAGTTGAAAACATCGGAAGAGTATCCACTTCAGACGCCGAAGAAGGACGCCCAGCGAAGATGGGCGATCCGACTGGTGTATTTATGAGAAGTTGCCAAAACAATACCATACGGAATATCCAAGTTGAGTCAAGCTATTCTTCGGATGAGGTCGTACTATTGCCATTGAAATCATACTATTTGGTAGTTGAAGCAGATCAATGTTATAGGAAAATACAAAATGAATAAATCTCGATTCATCAAGTCGTTCAGCTAGGAGAAAAGGTGACTCTCGCCAGAGAAGGTGAGAAGCGATTACAATTTTTTGAAGATTTGAGCAGTCGCCTGTCAGATGCCATATCAGTCATGTGCATTTACCAAGACAAATACCTTTTCCTTGAAGAGTAGGGCAGTAGTTCGGAGTTCATTCGTAGCAAAAGATCAAGCAGTGGGCAACACAAAGTGAACTTCCGATGATTCATCCACTTGGAATTGGTCCCGTGTACTAGGTTTTCTGTCGGAACTACAGCCCTTCGAGTACCCAACACAGAACGACTGTTCACCCTTATACAAATTACTCTTTAGGTCTGCAAACTTATAAGAAGAACTTGGGCGGAGCGGTACTTAAAGGCACGGTCCGCGATAAAAAGCCTAGGTGATGTTGCAGAAATGTGGAAGAAAATTCGCCAAGTGAACCGTCTATGAAGAGAAAATGCCAAAGGGAACGTTGGACGGCCACCCCTTCACCGCCGCTTCATACCAATCCCTTTGCTTCATAATTTGCTCAGCAAATGAATGAATACGAGCGTCAGAAACGGTCGTCCGTTTGTGGGCGGGCGGGCAAGGAAGGCGTTTGGGACGTAAAGTTGTTGCTCAATAGGGCGTTATAGAGGTACCCTCCTTGGAAAAGGTTTCACGCAGCGCCTGTCCGAGGTCACGGAATTCTGTTGAGCCAGTTGTACAAATCCTACACCTGTATAGCGATTTATCGTGCCAACTGCCTTTAAATACTTTACCGTACAACTTTCGCCGCGAAACTGGCACAGGGTTGTCCACTCCGGACCGCACTACCTTCCCACATGAACCTCTTGCATTTTCATAGGTCTTCACGTACTGTTCTTTAAGGGAGTTCAATTCTCACTACGTCATAGGCATGTGGTCACACTCGAAATCGTTCCACTTCCTCACACGAGTAAATTTAGTATCGGGCCTCAAGAGATATACCACACGTATTCAGAACAAATGTTTCTACTTTCCGTTTGGAATAGTAACCTGTGTGGTTCTGATTTCCATCAAGAAGCGGAATTCGCTTCTGTTTGCCCGTATAATTAGAACGTCATTCTAATTTTGTGGCGATTTGTTCCACGAAGAGCTTACCTTATCTCCGTCTTCTGCCACTATCATAAGATCACCACTGGGGAATTAGCACACCTTACCACGGCTTGTGCAAGTCACGTTGAGAGTCTGTAAATAACACCACGAATATCTTTATTGCAACCACCCCCTTTGCCATAACAAATAGAAATAAAATAGAATAAGCGGAGTAATTCACACGGCGCGATTGCCGTGGCACGTTCAAAGGAATTCCTTCACCCTTCTATCAGCAACTGATAAGCGATCACGGAAGCGCCATTGTTGGCACTTAACCGATTTACCACTGATGCCGGCACTTTCCGAGATTTGTAGAACAATCAAAGTGCCTCTCACATAGGGGTAATATAGGGGGGGGGGAGCAAAGAAAGACACTTTTCCCGAGTCACATATCAGCAAAGTTTACGCAGCCCAGACAGAAGACGTGGATACGAGTACCAGGGCGGAAGATACCCAAGATGTTCCTCGATAAGCAGGAGCAGGCTCTCGTCCATCACCTTCATGTACACCAAAATATGAAGCCATCTTCAATCGCAGCCGGACTGGAGAAGGCCTATCAAACAGCTGCAGAACTTCTTGTATCGAGTCACCCATGACAGCTACCTGGGACTGGCACTCTTGATCTGGAAGACCTCCAACATCGAGCAGCTCCGACAACGTCGCTACGGTCCAGGATATCATCTTCACCACAGTCGCCAAGGCGCGGGTTGATGGTATGGACCGGAAGTTCCTGGAATGGGGAGACCGATATTTTCTTCGTGGACCCCTACTGAAAGTGAATGCTGACCGGTACATCGAACAGCTCAAGGAGAATATCACGCTCTGTCGCCAATCTTGGTAACTTCGTGCTTCGTGCTACAGGATCGGGTGCCAGCACAGGGAACCGAAAGGCGGTGGAAAAATTCTCGCTTACTTGGTAATCCAAGGGCGTTGAGTACCTGAAGAAGATGGATACAAGTGTGTCACCTGGCCTAAACTCTCGATTACCGTGTCCGGGAGGAGCTCAACAGGGTGGTCTACAACGGCGGAGAAATCAACGACCTCGCTGAACTCAGGCACCGAATCACGGTCGCGTGGCAGAATCTCTCGATGGCGTTCG